AGTCATGATATAACAATATTGTTACAACCTTGTGTCGTCAACCTTGTAACATTCTTGTTATATCATGACTGTATCAGACTTGTTGGAGCAACTTTGTAACAAATCTGATAATGCCATCAAGCTTGTTACAAGTTGTTACCAGCTTGTTCCAAACTTGTTACAACAACTGGCACAAGCAGTGCAAACCCAGCTTTTCGACAGCTTCTCAGCAGACTTGTAGCAATTAATTTGTTTGCAGACCTAGCTGTAAGAACTTGTGCGTTTTTACGCGCAAGTACAGTAGAAACGCACATGGTGTCACAGATCTGCAAACAACTTGTTACATGTCTGTTCACAAGCTGTCGACAAGTTGTGTTTGTACTGCTGATTGTTCCCAGTTGTTGTAACAAGTTTGGAACAAGCTGTTAACAAGCTTGATAGCATTATCAGAGTTGATGTTTGTGATGTTACTCTGAGTGTGCGTCCACACGGGGCAAAACGAAAAGTTAGCCACCGTGGGAATGGAACCCGCGACCTTTGGGATACTAGTCCAATGCTCTGCCAACTGAGCTACGTGGTCAAGTCGGTTCGAGTCGATGATATTTCGGAACTGAGTCTAGTTCTTTCAATATTCACCTGAGTACATAACACCAACATACACAAAGTAGTCATTAACAGAGTTGTTACAAAGTTGTTCTAACAAGTCTGATACAGTCATGATATAACAAGAATGTTACAAGGTTGATGACCCAAGTTGTAACAATATTGTTATATCATGACTGTATCGGACTTGTTGGAACAACCTTATCAACAATGACATTATCAACAAGGTTGTTACAAGTTTTTAACAGCTTGTTCCAAACTTGTTGACAACTTGGGACAAGCAGTGCGAACACAACTTGTTAACGGCTTGTTGGCAGACTAGCTACAAGATGTGATAGGCGTGTATGACGCAACATCGTTAATCGCTAAATCGGAGAATAAAGTAGGTCGTTTACAACTCGCCTCCATCACTGACTGCTAAACAAAGTCTATCGAAGTAGTTATTGTAATATTGGGCTTATTTCAGTCACTACCTATTCTGCATTTTCAATATTTGTACAAAGGTTAGTTTTTACGACATGTATCTATTTAACCCTGTATAAGAATACCGCACTACTGCCACTAGGAATAAACGAAAATGGAGAATAGTCAGTTATTTACACAAGGCAAACATTACACTACATATTTCTACAAACTATCCGGCGGTCCAGTACGTAAAAACAAGCGCTTGTATTTAAAAACAAAACAGCAAAACTATTTGAAAATTTGAAAATTATAATTTAATTTGTTATTAATAAAATTTCTGCGAATGGTTTTTGGTGAAAAAGAAGGAACATATTGATATTTTTGTTTTCTTCGACCAAATGTGTACCACGCTACTAATATGCATATGAAATCATTCATTTCTTGTTTGTTGCAAGTATAAATGCCTATAAATGCCATATAATTAACCTCGCTTGCTCGGTATGTACAGAGAAATATCGGCCCTCGATCTTTTTTTACAAACCTCGCCCTACGGGCTCAGTCTGTACCAAAAAGGCCTCGGTCCGATATTTCTCTGTACAGCCCTCGCGTTCGGTTAATAAGAAGTTATTAAATGGCTTTTCAAAATTCTCTATTCTGATTGGTTGACAAGCGGTCCGTAAAAACCCATATCCGGACCGTGGTCCGTATTTTCTGTATCTGGACCGGTGTCCCGGATGTCAGTTATCTGGCGGGAAATTTTTGCTTTGCAAACAGAAAAAAATTTTGCTTTTTAATTTTCCAATTGTGTGTCATTAAAATTTACAGATAATAATTTCAAACAACCAAATTGTTTTAGTTTGAGCACGCATGCCTACCTTATATTGTTACCCAGTGAAACTGACGATAACCGATCTAATTCGCGCGAAAAGCAAATGTTCAAAGACTCATGCGATCAGTTCATCCATATAATAAACCGATTATTGAACTCGCTTGTTCTCCTTGTACTGTGAAATATCAGGCCTCTGTTTTTTTGCATGGACCTCGCTCCTTCGTCGCTCGGTCCATACCAAAAAACCTCAGTCTTATATTTCACAGTACAGACCTCACGTTCGGTCAATAAGCCGTTATTATTTATTGTAAGTTATCGAGTTGTATGTACGGCATGCAATTTTAGTACTGAAATGTGTAGTGATGTCATAGACTTGAGTCTGACTCGTCCCCAGTCGCTTCAGTAACGCGCGCGTTGAATTACCCAACGCACTGTGGAAGAGTCAGGTATTTTGTAGCGTGCAGTTGATTTTAGAAATAAACTATGTAAAAGAGAATGCAACACGATTGCGGACAATGGCTGCAACTTGCGAATTCAACGACGTAGAGTTAGAAATCGAACAACAAATTATCATTGGCGGCACATCCTCAAAGATTCGGCGTAAACACGCGTTGAGAGACCCGAAATTCGACTTGAAAGGCATGTTATTAGAAGGGCGAAGAGATGAGCAAAGTTCCTATCAGATTAAGGACATTGAGTCAAAAGAGTCAACCAAGGTATATACAAACAAACTCGATGGGAAATCAGCGAAAACCGAAGCGAAAACATGTCGCTATTGCGGGCGTGAATATCCGCACGTAGGACAATGCCCTGCGAAGGGTCAGACATGCCATATATGTGGCAAAGTAAATCATTTTGCAGGGGTATGCAAAAGTAAGCCGAAAGCACCGAAACAGAATACTAGAAAACAACACAAAGGTCGGGGAAAAGCTCTAAATCCTTTAAACCACGACGAAACGGACAATTCTGATGAGGATTATTTATATACGGTAAACAAAGATCAAGCAAATACCGCTAAAGTCAAGGTCAAAGTGGGCGGAGCGTCTTTTATGATGACACTTGATACTGGGGCAACAATTAATGTCATCGATGAACAAACATTTTCGAAAATGGACGGTGTTAAGTTAAAGCAGACAAATACTAAAGCATTTCGGTATAATACAACACAACCTGTAAAATTCCTTGGAAAATTCGAGGCAGTTGTGGAAACACGCAAGCGGTTATCTGTGGCCATGTTCTATGTAGTAAAAGGCCAAAATAGTGGAAAACTTTTGTCTCTGGCTACAGCTCAAGACCTTGGACAACGAAAAGATGACAACCTGGACAAACAACGAAAGATGACAACCTGGACAAAATCCTTGGAAAACATACTAAAGTATTTCACGGACTGGGCAAATTAAAAGGTGAGACAGTAAAATTAGACATAGATAAAGACCAAATACCAAAAGCCCAACCTCAACGTCGAATTCCTTATCACATTCGTAAGAAGGTAGAAGACGCCTTAAAACCACTTGAGAAGGAAGACGTAATTGAAAGGGTGCCGGAGAATGAGGCAACACCATGGGTATCACCCATAGTCGTAGTTCCTAAGAAAGATGGGTGAGTCAGAATATGCGTAGATATGTGGCAAGCGAATGAAGCCATATGCCGGATACGACACCCCCCATTCCTACCGTGAACGATGTTAGTTTTGCATTCAATGGGGCACAATATTTCACTAAACTTGATCTATCCCAAGCTTACCATCAACTAGTGCTAGATCAAGAAAGCAGATTTATTACCATGTTCAGTACTCATGTAGGATTATATTGTTACAAGCGTTTGAACTATGGGACTAATGTGTCCGCTGAGATCTTTCAACATGTCCTTCAAACAAAGCTAAAGGGACTAAACAGAGTAAAAAATATTGCAGACGATATAATCGTGTTCGGAAAAACACGAGCTGAACATGATCAAAATTTAGATAAATGCCTTGCCCGCTTATCTAATTCTGGTCTAAAGTTAAACCGAGGAAAGTGTACATTCCTCAAAGATAAGCTGGAATTTTTCGGACAGATATTTTCCAGAGAAGGCACACGACCTGACCCGAAACGGGTAAACGACTTACTCAATGCTCCCCAGCCTTCTAGTGTTTCTGAAGTGCGTAGTTTATTAGGCATGGCTAACTACAGTAGCAAATATATTCGTGACTTTGCGACTTTAACTGCCCCACTTAGAGAACTAACGAAAAAGAATGCACGATTTACATGGTTGCCAAAACACCAAGCATGTTTTGACAAATTGAAAGCAACCTTAGCATCAGCACCATGTATGTCATACTTTGCTAAAGACAAAGAGACACTAGTCATTGTAGATGCTAGTCCCGTGGGCATCTCAGCAATTCTGTCACAACAGGAACCAGGTACGAATGATCCTAAAATTGTTGCATATGCAAGCAGATCCTTAACAGACACAGAAACACGTTATTCACAAACAGAAAAGGAAGCTTTAGCAATAGTTTGGTCTGTTGAACATTTTCATTTGTTTTTATATGGTAGCCAATTCACTCTAGTTACAGATCACAAACCGTTAGAAGTGATTTATGGAAGTCGAAAGGCGAAAGCTTCAGCAAGAATCGAGCGCTGGATCCTTCGACTTCAGCCATACTCGTTTAAAACTGTTTATCAGTCGGACGCAAATAATCCAGCCGACTATTTATCGAGACATCCAATCAACCCCAATTCACGAAAGGAAGAGAAAATGACCGAGGAATATATTAATTTCATTGTGCTTAATGCGGTCCCCAGAGCCATGACTCTGGATGAAATAATAAAAGCGAGAGTACGTTAAAAGGTCTCCGTGCAGCTATACGACTCAAACGATGGGACTCACCTGTAGTACAATCCTTTAAATCGATAAAGGATGAATTGACTGTCACGTCTCATGGAGTAATTCTTAGATGAACCAGAATTGTAATTCCAAAATCTTTACAACAAAGAGCGATAGACATAGCTCACGAAGCACACCTTGGAGTTGAAAAGACCAAAAGTCTTGTTAGAGAAAAGATATGGTTTCCCTCAGATGGACACCATGGTGAAAAACACAATAGAACGATGTGTTGCATGTCAAGCAGTTGGGGGATATAGATTCATGTCTCGCTAGTAGGGTTAGCGGTTAGCTAAGGTTAGGGTTAGGGTGGGGGTTAGGGTTAGCATTATAAATAGCGAGATATGAATCTATAACCCAGTTGGGCGAGCGAATGCACCTGAGCCAATAGCAACAAAAAATATGCCAAAACACCCCTGGAGAGTTTTACATGTCGACTTCTATGGCCGTCTGCCATCGAATGACTACCTACTGGTGGTGATTGACCGGTACTCAAGATTTCCAGACGTGGAAATCGTCCGTTCTACAAAAGCTTTAGTAGTGATACCGAAGCTTGATAAAATATTTGCTGTGCATGGCATCCCAGAAGTCTTAAAGTCAGATAATGGCCCACCGTTTAAAGTCACTGGGAATCAAACCCGAGTTTTCTACTCCATTATGGCCTCAAGGCAATGCCCAAGTTGAGAGATTTATGCAACCCCTTGGAAAAGCACTCAAAACAGCCAAAATCGAAGGTCGCCCATGGAAGCAAGAGCTCAATAGATTCTTGCTACAGTATAGGACGACACCACAAAGTCCTACCGGTGTTCCTCCGGCTGAACTACTCTTCAATCAGACGGTACAAGGCAAGTTACCCATTCTTCACAGGACGAACATTGTGAACCGACCTAAGGAAGCTCGTGAAAATGAAAACAAGCGACAGAAGTATAACGAAAGATATGCAAACGAAAGGAGGAATGCAAAGGAAAGTGGAATCAAAGAGGGAGACTGTGTGTTGGTGAAACAACCTAAGGCAAATAAACTAACGCCAAATTTCAATCAAACATCTTATGTTGTTATTTATCGGAACAAAACAGTAGTTAGAGATAGAAATAAAGATGGACATGAAATAGAACGAAATGTTTCACATTTTAAAAAGATACCCAAACCCAGCAAAGATAATGAAGATAAGTCAGAGAAAACCGACGATTTCAGTACAGAGAGTAACAATCGGCGTACTCCAGAGGAAACAGTACAGTTTAACATGAACAACCGTAATAACAACAATTATGGTAACGGTATGAATGAGCACCCTCGACGGTCCACGAGAGTAAGAAAGCGACCCGAAAGATACGGACAAACATTACCGTCTAACATTGTTACGTGACTTTTATTAAAGTAATAACTATAGATAAATTAGTATTAATTTGTGATATGGACACAATTTATATTTGAACAGTTAAAACATTTATGTTTTGTTAAAACAAAGGGAATGGTGTAGTGATGTCATAGACTTGAGTGACAGATATAGTCATGTGACCGGAGAGCACATGGAATCATTAGGATTAGTATTTTGTAGCGTGCAGTTGATATTAGAAATAAACTATGTAAAAGAGAATACAAATATTATAAGGACAACGATCCTGGCAGTGACGACAAGGTTCCTGGCGGTCAGGACAAGGTTCCTGGGGGTGAAGACAAGGTTCCTGGCGGTGAGGACAAGGTTCCTGGCGGTGACGACATTGTTCCTGGCAGTGAGGACAAGGTTCCTGGCGGTGACGACATGGTTCCGGGCGGTGAGGACAAGGTTGCTGGCGGTCAGGACAAGGTTCCTGGCATTCACAAATAGTTTCCTGGCGGTGAGGAGAAGGTTGCTGGCGGTGAGGACAAGGTTCCTGGCGGTAAGAACAAGGTTCCTGGTGGTGAGAACAAGGTTCCTGGCAGTAAGGACAAGGTTCATGGCGGTGAGAACAAGGTTCCTGGCAGTGAGGACAAGTTTCCTGGCGGTGAGGACAAGGTTCCTGGCGGTGAGTACAAGGTTCCTGGCGGTGGCGACAAGGTTCCTGGCGGTGAGGACAAGGTTCCTGGCGGTGAGGACAAGGTTCCTGGCGGTCAGGACAAGGTTCATGGCAGTGAGGACAACGTTCCTGGCGGTGAGAACAAGGTTCCTGGCGGTGAGGACAAGCTTCCTGGCGGTGAAGACAAGGCTCCTGGCTGTGAGGACAAGGTCTCTGGCGGTGAGGACAAGGTTCCTGGCGGTGAGGACAAGGTTCCTGGCAGTGAGGACAAGGTTCCTGCCCTAGCGGTGAGCACAAGGTTCCTGCCGGTAAGGAGAAGGTTCCTGGCAGTCAGGAGAAGGTTCCCGGCGGTGAGGACAAGGTTGCTGGGGGTGAGGACAAGGTTCCTGGCGGTGAGGATAAGGTTCCTGGCGGTCAGGAAAAGGTTGCAAGCGGTGACGAAAAGTTCCTCGCAGTGAGGACAAGGTTCCTGGCGGTGAGGACAAGGTTCCTGGCAGTGAGGACAAGGTGCCTGGCGGTGAGGACAAGGTTCCTGATGGTGACGACATTGTTCCTGCCGTGGAGGACAAGGTTCCTGTCGGTGAGGACAAGGCTCCTGGCGGTGAGGACAAGGTTCTTGGCGGTGACGACATTGTTCCTGGCGGTGAGGACAAGGTTCCTGGCAGTGAGGACGAGGTTCTTGGCGGTGAGGACAAGGTGCCTGGCGGTGAGGAGAAGGTTCCTGATGGTGACGACATTGTTTCTGCTGTGGAGGACAATGTTCCTGTCGGTGAGGATAAGGCTCCTGGCGGTGAGGACAAGGTTCTTGGCGGTGACGACATTATTCCTGGCGGTGAGAATAAGGTTCCTGGCGGTGAGGACAAGGTTCCTGGCGGTGAGCACAAGGTTCCTGGCGGTGAGCACAAGGTTTCTGGCGGTGACGACAAGGTTCCTGGCGGTAAGGACAAGGTTCCTGGCGGTGAGGACAAGGTTCCTGGCTGTCAGGTCAAGGTTTCTGGCGGTGAGGACAAGGTTCCTGGCGGTCAGAACAAGGTTCCTGGCGGTGAGAACAAGGTTCCTGGCGGTTGGGACAAGGTTCCCGGCGGTGAAGACAAGGTTTCTGCCGGTGAGTACAATGTTCCCGGCGGTGACGACAAGGTTACTGGCGGTGAGGACAAGGCTCCTGACGGTGACGACAAGGTTCCTAGCGGTGGGGACAAGGTTCCCGGCGGTGACGACAAGGTTGCTGGCGGTGAGGACAAGATTCCTGGCGGTGAGGACAATGTTCTTGGCTGTGAGGACAAGGATTCTGGCGGTGAGTACAATGTTCCCGGCAGTGACGACAAGGTTACTGGCGGTGAGGAGAAGGTTCCCGGTGGTGACGACAAGGTTCCTGGCGGTGAGGACAAGATTCCTGGCGGTGAGGACAATGTTCTTGGCTGTGAGGACAAGGATTCTGGCAGTGAGTACAATGTTCCCGGCGGTGACGATAAGGTTAGTGGCGGTGAGGACAAGGTTCCTAGCGGTGACGGCAAGGTTCCTGGCGGTGAGGGCAAGATTCCTGGCGGTGAGGACAATGTTCTTGGCTGTGAGGACAAGGTTACAGGCGGTGAGTACAATGTTCTCGGCGGTGACGACGAGGTTCCTGGCGGTGAGGACAAGGTTCCTGGCGGTGAGACAAGGTTCCTGGCGGTGAGGACCAGGTTCCTGGCGGGGCATGTAGTAAAACACTGACTACCGGAACACCGGAACACCACCGGAACACCGGAACACCACCATTTTGTTTGGGGTTAGGGTTTGGGGTTAGGGTTAGGGTTAGGGTTGGGGGTTAGGGTTGGGGTTAGGGTTAGGGTTAGGTGGTGTTCCGGTGTTCCCGTGGTGATCCGGCGGTGTTCCGGTGGTGTTCCGGTGGTGTTCCGGTGTTCCGGTAGTCAGTGTTTTACTACATGCCTCCTGGCGGTGAGGAGAAGGTTCCTGGCGGTGAGGAGAAGGTTCCTGGCCGTGAGGACAAGGTTCCTGGCGGTGAGGACAAGGTTCCTGGCGGTGAAGACAAGGTTCCTGGCGGTTAGGACAAGGTTCGTGGCGGTGAGGACAAGGTTCCTGGCGGTAACGACAAGGTTCCTGGCAGCGAGGACAAGGTTCGTGGCGGTGAGGGCAAGGTTCCTGGCGGTAAGGACAATGTTGCTGGCGGTGAGGGCAAGGTTCCTGGCGGTGAGGACGAGATCATGGCGGTGAGGACAAGGTTTCTGGCAGTGAGGAGAGGGTTCCTGACAGTGAGGACAAGGTTCATGGCGGTGAGGACAAGGTTCCTGGCAGTGAGAACAAGGTTCCTGGCGGTGAGGACAAGGTTCCTGGCGGTGAGGACAAGGTTCCTGGCGGTGAGGACAAGGTTTGAATCATGTTGTTGATGATTTGAGCGAAAATGATATAAACAAATCATTTTCAACATTTTATATTAAGTTAAATACAGTTATCAAAAAGCATGCTCCCCTTGAGGAAATTTCAAAGCGTAAAGCAAGGCAGTTGACAAGACCATGGATAAATAAAGGTATCAGGAAATCAGTTAAAATTAAGAATAGGTTATATAATCGCGGTGATAAGGATAAATATAAATTCTATAGAAACAAAATTTTGACATTTTCATTCGTCAGAGTAAAAAGGAATATTATCATAGATATTTTGAGTACAACTTTGCAAACACTAAAAAGACCTGGGAAGGTATAAACGAATTAATTAATCGGAAGAAGCAGTCAACTAGACCTATGCCGTCTTGAAATGTCCCATAAGCAACAGAATGATATATGACGAAAGTAAGTTTCCAAATATATTCAATAAATATTTTTCATCAGTGGGTCATAATTTAGCGAGGTATATGCCAAATTCACAAATTCCATTCACAAATTATCTTCCAAAGATAAATAACCGAGGATCGTTTCAATTTAATCCTATCATGCCGCACGAGATGGAAATAGAAATTATGTTAATTCCAATGAAAAAGGCACATGGCCTATACTCATGCCCAACTCGTATTTTAAAATGCGCTAGACACGTTTTATCCAATCCTTTATCGGATTTAATGAATAAATCGGTTGAATGCGGCCAATATCCAGCTAAATTAAAACACTCAAAAGTTATCCCTATTTACAAAAGGACGATGAAACCGATCCTTCTAACTATAGACCAATATCTCTTTTATTAATTTTTGACAAAATTTTTGAACAATTGATGTATAATCGTTTAAAATCTTTTCTTGAGAAACAAAATATCATATTTAAATCTCAATATGGTTTTCGGGAATAATATTCAACTCAGCATGCAATTTTAGATATAGTATATCAAATTCAATCTAACATGTCACGTAAATTGTTCACTTGTGGTATTTTTATTGATTTGCAAAAGGCATTTGACACCGTAAACTACTCAATACTTTTAGAAAAACTGCATAATTATGGAATAAGAGGGATTATAAACGATTGGTTTTCCTCTTATCTGTTAGGTCGTATCCAAACTATTCAAATGGGTGTCAATATATCTGAAAAAGAAGAAATCTTTGTGGCGTTCCTCAGGGATCTGTCCTGGGACCGCTACTATTTTTAATTTATATAAATGATATCTATAACTCATCTGATAAACTGACGTTTTCCTTATTTGCAGATAACACCAATTTACTATATGCTGACAAGAATTTAAAAACACTAGAAAATATTGTCAATACTGAACTTCTTAATATCTATAACTGGTTAACAGCTAATAAATTATCCCTAAACATAAAAAATCTAATTTCATTATTTTTCATTCTTACCAAAAAGGGCTGGATTATGCGGTAGATTTGAAGATGTATGATGCACAGTCCAATACTTTCGTCTCACTAGCAACTAAAAATTACATTAAATACCTCGGTGTTCTCATGGACTCAAATCTTTCATGGAAATTTCATATTGGGTACATCGCCTCTAATCTTAGCAAACGAATTGGCATAATTGCTAGGCTGCGTCATTTTGTACCAGTAAGTACTCTAATAAGTATCTATAAGTCCCTTATGCTGCCTTACCTAACTTATGGTATCGTTGTATGGGGATGTACTGCCAAATGCTACATTGATAAAATCCTTAAACTCCAAAAACGCGCTCTTCGTTTAATATATTCTGCACACTATCTTTCTCAAGCCATTCCTTATTTTCAGTCAGCTAATGTTCTGCCAATAAATTTGCTTTATTACAAGTCAGTATCAATACTAATGCATGACGTATCAAGAACGGTAGTACCCCCAAATATTTTGGCTTTGTTTACCCCATTAAGTCAGGTACACGAACACAACACCAGATCTTCCACTAGCAAGAACTTCCACGTTGAATATTCAGGTTTAGACGTGCAAAGCAAATCATTCTTAAGAATGGTAGGTAGAATTTGGAATATTTGAATGCTGTTCTTAGGGTTTGTAATCCAAGTGAGTATATATATACATTTTAAGACCTGACCAGGAACGACTGCGAAAAATGCAGCACAAGGTCCTCTGGTAGGAATTGAACCTACGGCCCTGCGATTCCGGTGCAGCGCTCTAACCAACTGAGCTACAGCTGGCCTCTGTAGGTTCCTGGCGGTGAGGACAAGGTTCCTGGCGGTGAGGACAAGGTGCCTGGCGGTGAGGACAAGGTTCCTGGCGGTGACGCCAAGGTTCTTGGCGGTGAGGACAAGGTTCCTGGCGGTGAGGACAAGGTTCCTGGCGGTGAGGACAAGGTTCCTGGCGGTGAGGACAAGGTTCCTGGCAGTGAGGACAAGGTTCCTGGCGGTGAGGACAAGGTTTCTGGCGGTGAGGACAAGGTTCCTGGCGGTGAGGACACGCACTCAAACTTGTAAGTTATGATGAGAGGACTTAAACCGTAGATACTGTACCATGCATTAAATATAGTCTTAATTAACCTATTATTATTTTATTATTTTATGAGAATCTATTTTTGCGTGAAATTGCTTTTTTAAGACACGTGAAACGTAAAACGGCTTTTGTTTTCGTTGTGAAAACCCTCGTGTTCCCACCCTCAAACAAGTCGAGACGAAGTCGTTATCCTCGAATGAAGTATCAAGAGACAGATCAAGATATGGTAGAACAATATAAAGAAACCTCGTAGATATGAACAAGTCACACTTAACAGATAAGTAAAGCATGTTAGGACTTAAGAAGAACTTAGTAGTTGTTATAAGACTTCAATTCTAAAGTTGACTTTATCTCATGACAGTAGACGGTGTTCAAACTGTTGATTAATATTAACTTTCTTATTGTATGGGGAATGTAAGGATATCACGTGACTCGATCATGCATGCGAGCACATGGAACGTTGAAGGAACGTTGAACAAGCCTTGTTCACTCCAACCTCGGAGTCCTCAAAACCGGGAAACTTCCTAATTTTCCCATTTTACTTAAATAAACGCCTCCCTCGAATAAACGCCTCGCTCGAATAAATGCCGGCTATGCCGCGATTTTCTCATTGATGTGGTGTCTATTTGGGTTAGTGTTAAAATTGGCTGACTTGAGTTCGAATTAAACAATAAATTCACAGTAGATGCTACAAAAACTAGTTTTTTTTACACCTATCCATGATTACACAACGTTGAAATCCATAAGTAATATAACATCTTCTCAACAAGCTTTAATTTCATTGAAGTACTGTAATGGCAAAATTGTTTTAATAGAGAGGTTAAGATACCCCGGTTCCGGTTTACGGGTACGGGTGATATACACGTACCTGTACCCGTTAATCGGGGAACGACTTGTCACTTAAAGATGCGGTAAAGTCCGTTCTGCGCATATATTCTGCGCATCAAAACATTCCATCAGTGGGGGAGCAACCTTTGGCATGTTGTTAATATTTCGCTCTTTCCGAACTTTCTTGAATTGAATCTCTTGTCTGTACATTTACATTTTAATTACTATTTCCCGGAGAGAACAGTTCGAATGCATTCCGATGATAAATTTTTTATAACAACAAAAATAAAAAAGTTACTAAGGAAGCGAGATAACGCATACAAACAAGGAAGAATGCAGAAGTTTAGGAAACTTCGTAATAGAGTAGCATCGGAAATTACAAAGGCAAAGAGGCACTATTATGTAATGAACATTGGAAGGCTGAATACCAACGGGGATGCCCGAATGTGGTGGAAGAAGGTCTGGAAACTGACTGGAAAGAAGAAACCTTCTATCAATCTCAGTGAGCAGGGATCAGACTCCAAACTCGAAGATAGTGATGCTGCAAATATGATTAATACGTTTTTCGCAGATCTAACAAATGACTTCCCAGAAATTCAATCCAGATGGTCATCGTACGGTCATTCAGATGTCTTGCTGACTGTTACACCCGAAAGCGTTGCGAAAAAGCTTTTGTCCATTCAGTCTCACAAAGCTCCCGGTCCAAACGACCCCTACCTCAAGATAATCAAAATGTTTGCGCATTCTTTTGCCATCCCATTATTATTTTAATGCATCATTTGGGAAGAAGGTGTTTCCAAAACTGTGGAAAGAGTTCCGCCTAGCACCTATACCAAAAGTGGAACCGTGCACGAATCTGGATGAAATAAGACCAATAGCTCTCACTAGCACAATTTCAAAAATACAGGAGTCTTACGTGGTTGATTGGATGTATGACGATATTGAGTCTAAAATTTGTAAGGAACAGTGTGGTGGTGTCCCACGCTCGTCAGCAGTTCTTGCGCTCGTTCACCTTCTACACAAATGGAATAAAGCGTTGGACTTATCACAACGAGTAATACGAATTGTGTTTTTGGACTTTCGCAAGGCATTTGATCTTATTGATCACAACCTGCTATTAGACAACTGTTGTAAAATTGGAGTCAGACCGGGGCTTATTGGCTGGTTGGGGTCATATCTGAGGAAGAGGATGCAAGTGACAAGATTTGGTAACGAACTTTCTACAAGCTGCATGATTAATGGGGGAGTTCCCCAAGGTAGTCGTATTGGTCCAATCGCGTTCGTCGTTCACATTAACGGACTGAAGGCAGTGATAAAAGATACCGAGAGTAGTTTGACTAATTCAAGCAATGATGATAATGATGATGGTGATGATGACCTCACTCTTTTCATGGATGATACAACACTGTCAGAGGTTATTAATTAACGTCCGTGATCATGTCTCGGGTACACAAGTTGGGAGTATGAACAATAATATTATGAAAGTTATGGATTTTGCCACGTCTCAAAAAATGGAGTTGAACCTGAAAAAATGTAAGGAAATGCAGTTAGACTTCCGTCAGAACAAAACAGTTATTCCACCACTAACATTCAATGATACAACGTTGGAAAGGGTTTCCACTTTCAAACTATTGGGCTTATGGATTGACGATAATTTAAAGTGGCAAACTAATACTGATTATATAATAGGGAAAGCAGTTAAGCGACTCTTTTTATTAAAAACTTTAAAGAAATACGGTGCTGACAAGACTGATATGAAACGGTTTTACATCTCTGCCATCAGGCCGACACTTGAATATGGAGCGCAAATCTGGCATGGGGGCCTTACTAAAGCACAGAGCAGCAGTATTGAGAAAGTACAAAGAAGGGCTTTGAGAATAATTTATTCCGAAAAAGATTACGAAAAGTTATTGTTGAAAGCTGGAATGCATACGCTTGAACAACGTCGCAATACTATGTGCATTGATCTTATCAGTAAAATGTCTGACCCGCAACACAAACTGCACCATCTTCTTCCTAATAAACTTTGCAAGGTACGGCAAAGGGTTACACGTCAGAATGGTCAATTGTTTTACAATTACCACTACAGAACAGAACGTTTTCGGAACAGTCCAATCGTTTCGTCAATTGAACTCTATAATAACTCTATTTTATAATATAATATAATATATAATATAACTTTATATATTTTTATCGAAACATTTTTAACACGTAGTGATAGTTTTTGGATCAGTCCATTTGTTTCGCCAATTGAACCTTTGTTAATAACTCTCTTTTTTTAATATAACTATCTCTATTGAAACTTTTATAATACCTAATTTAGATAATTTAGTAATTAATGTATATTTTCTATATATATGTAATGCGCGTTCTAATTTAGTTACTTATTGTAGCTATTCAATGTGTAATCTTTCTATAATAATAATAATAATAATAATAATAATAAGCATAACGAACCAGAAAAGTGTTAAAAATTCAGTATAATATATATCTAATCATATTTTACAACTGTAGCAGTGAGTTCAAAATGTAAACAAAGCGTTTGTTTACATTACGGACTTTACATCACCTTTAAGAAATCCAAGATATTCCGGCATGAGAAAACCGATCAGAGGATGGCAACTTTCGCTGTTAAGGTTCGTCATTGATTGTTTAAAACATTGACAAGTATATGTGCAGTATTTAATTGGGTAAGATTATTGATAATTTTTACTATTTGAACGGCCTACAAATAGTAAACAGAAAGCACCCGTACCCGTTTGTCGTTTACGTGTAGACAACGGTTTACCGCGGGGAAACGGGTAGAAATTACGGGTAAAAATGCTGACATCAGCAAAAATTGGTAAACAAAATGGCGATACTCGTACCCGTAAACCGGAACCGGGGTATCTTAACCTCTCTATTACTGGTCTTTTGAACTGTGACCTCTCGTATTCAAGAGCCTGTGATTATTGCGCCCGCTTCTGTTACGCTGCTTTACTTCATGTAGCCCTGGCAAAATGAATAGGAATTGAAAGCGAACGCTAAATTGTCAAAACAACGTATGTCACGAGAATTACAACGATCGGCGACAAACTCGGCAATTGTTTGGGGCAACTAGCCGCTCCCATTTCATTAATATGTATTGAACCAAACGAATTTCATTAATATTTGTCACATGTGCCTTATTTGAAGAATACAACTATTAAAATACTGCAGAAACCGGGACAATAAGAATAAAACCGGGACACCGGGACAACATAGTCCAAACCGGGACAGTCCCGGGTAAACCGGGACGGTTGGAATGTTTGACAAGGACTGAGTAGAGTTGAGTTAATATATAGTAAGGTTAAATGTAGTTTATACGGCATATGCCATAAGATAAATAAAATATATAACGTTACAGCCACCTCGCTGAATACAATCGAAAAGATACATTTTATAGTAATATATGATGAATTAGAAAGTGATTTGGCGCAAATTAATGTAATTAGGTGGAAATTTATAATTATGCAAATGAATACAAGAGCAGAACGCATGTTTATGAGCCTACAACGTATATTTATACTTGTTAATTAAAAATTCAAACTGTCAAACCTTTAACTTGTCCTTGTTTATATTCCACTAATACTATATTGTATAAATTCGGTGGGTCCAAATTTTCTTTTGGGGTTTTCGAGTCGTTACACAAAGAAAAACACACTAATTCAACACGCAAGAAAGGCCAGAGTGCGACACAACGTAAAATCCATAGGAAACCGGCACAATTCTTTGAAAATTCAACGAAACTGTGTGAAATATATAATACAGTAGATCGCTCATTGAAAGCCGCCATTTTGAAACTGAACTGAATATGTCACTGGAGCACGTTGCACCCTGAGCCTGCGATGACCTAACGCAAACTCGATTTGACGATTTCTCGCCGAAAAACCCCAGAAAAAGAGGGATTTTAATTAAGACACTTGGCCTACAGGCTACAGCATACCTACAGGCCAGTGTAATAATCTTATAAACAATGACAGTGTTTTCGGTGCAAGCAAAATTGCCTTCACATCAATATTTACGGCTACTTGGAAATCTCGAAAAGCTTGGAAAATGGTCGCCATTTGACAGTCTCGAATTACAACCTTCGTCAGCAGACTGCAGGTACAAACCGTACAATATAAATAATGAAATTGTCGATGGTGTTTGCTATAGAGTGTTTTCATGTATGATTCCCTGGATCTTGTTGGGAGGCAAAAGTGCCCAAAGAAAGGAGATCTATTCTTTTCTCATGCCATGTCACCATGCGTGCCCTAGCAAACACCATCAACAATTTCATCTGGGTAGCTAACCATAAAACTTTAGTATTAGGGGCTGTTTTAGTGTTTTATATGTACAAGCCGGGCTGGCCTGCTTAGGGGCTGTTTACATGAGCCGGGCTGGCCCAGTTAACCAGGCTGAAACTTTATCATGCCAAATATGGCGGGGAAAAGTTGTTTACATGTTAAAGATGCGGTACAGTCCGTATGTAAACAAGGCTTTGTTTACATTCCGGCACAGAATAGGAAGTTATACCAGAAGCGTAACCCTAGTCGTTTCCCTTATTGTTTGACGTCCACGAAAATTTTAACTCGCTCACGTCAGGCCACGCCATCCTGGCTAGTACAGCCGGAAGTTTTTATCAGGATTTGGTAGGTACAAAGTGCCGGTTGTACCAGCCAGGATGGCGTGATTGATGACGAATCGCTTGTAAAAACGCGGACAAATATTTGCTCGAGTTACGCTTCTGGTATAACTTCCTATTCTGTGATTCCGGTATCCAAAATATTGAATTTTATTCGACAACTATTTATATTTTCATGATTCTAGAGTATAATAAATTATCAAGAGACAACAATCAAGCTTTGCAAGAACATAAAATGAAATAAAAACCTAAATAAACTGTTTGTAAATAAAAAGAGGGCTCCTTTGTGCACATGCGCAGATCGGACTGTACCGCATCTTTAATACTAGCTGTAAGGTTTGTCACGCAAGTCAAATGCATGTTTTATGGAACTAATTTTCAATTTAAAACTATCTAATCGACAAGAACAACTTAATTAATAACTATTTGACCAAAAACATCGAATCGATCGATATTGTAGCTATAGTACAGCAGTTTTTTTCGCTAGCCAGGCTACCCGGGCTGGTGACTTTACATGGGAAAATTTCATGTGACTCAAGTGAGATCTCGGCTATGCGGACTGGCCCAGTTTACATGTAAACTAAAATTGTTTTGTTAAGGGATTTGTATTAAGCCGGGTGCCTCAGTTAACCAGGCCAGCCCGGCTAGCCGGCTCATGTAAACAGCCCCTTAGCAAGACAGTCCGGTAAGTGGGATGGATTTCTTTCGTGTTTACATGGGAAAATTTGTAAGTGATCACAAGTAAGTGATCACTTATTCGAACCGTCCTGACCGCGTAGCTCAGTTGGAAGAGCATTGGGCTAGTATTCCAAAGGTCGTAGTTCGAATCCCACCATGGCCGGGCATATTTTTCAAGCTCGCCCGGTGTGGATATACACTCAGAGTAACATCACAAATATTATAATTAAATTTTGTTATTAATCATAAATGCAGCCCTCGTTTACCAAACACAGAAATTTGCATAATTTACGTTGCTTGTAGTACTACAATGGATACCCTGAAAATTAAAAAATGTTCTAGCGAATAACTTGTGGGGGGTGCAGGGGGTACGCACCCCACCTAGTGTAGTCTAGCACTTCCATAGAGAAGTCCAGCACCACCTTAAAGAATCTGGTTGACCACACTGTACATTTCTTCTTTTCGAATCGGCGGTGTCTGTTAGCGCATATGGATTTCTCCACAGTTAATAGAAGTATATTAACTGTGATTTCTCAAAACGAATTAATTGATTTGTGAGCTCACGAGAAAATATGTAATCATCTGGGTTTGTATGTGTGTATGTGTGTATGTTTGTGTTTGTCTGTGAGCACGATAACTCAAGAAATACCAAACATATTCAAACGAAATTTTTTGAATGCATTTCCCATCGGCTAAGGAAGAGGTGATTAAAATTTGGTTGAATTTGGTTAAAAATTGAACGAGAAATGAACATAAGTTTGTCTTGCTTTTCCCGGTCAATTAAATAAAACTTGTTTTGTTTGTTTTATTGTTCTTCTAGATTATTACAAAATTAAATAAGTTTTGTCTGACGTTTCGGTTTCCTATACGAAAACCATTTTCGAAGACTTCGTGTAGCTGACGCAAGATAAACATCAACGGATAAAATGAACAAACGTTCAAGTCTTCGAAAATGGTTTTTGTATAGGAAACCGAAACGTCAGACAAAACTTATTTAATTTTGTAATAATCTAGAAGAACAATAAAACAAACAAAAAATGAATGAACCTGCACTGTTAATTTCAGGGAGTTAACTTAACTCCGGTGGAGTTATACTGTACCTCAATTAACTCCAAATGTGGAGTAAAATTAGGTTCAGAATAATACCACTGGAGTTAAATTAACTCCCTGAAATTTGCAGTGTGGATTCAAACCTTTTAATAAATAAAACTTACTGAATGCGTAATTAGGACGTGTATAATTTATGCACCAGTATACAGGGTATATAAAGGTATACAATTGATGTAATTTATAGTATCTTTTTAGATTGTATACAATTGTAAATCTCACTTGTGTGAGTGTAATCTCACTTTGAGTAAGGCCATTCAAATTCTAATAACAATAGATTACTTCAATAGTTTGCGCTTTTTTCACTTCCGAGTAGAGCGGAGGTATGCAGTCTCTGAGTGCCCTCTAGTTAAATATGTAATGATGTCGAGTTTGTTATTAATATACAGCCATATTTTTAAATAAACTGTATTGGAACAAGCAAATGTACTGCACTTTGCTATATCAACTGTACAGTCACGCATACGTGATAAAAAGCCGATACAAACTTTATAAACAAAACATAATGTAAACCGTAACAGAACGGCGAACATGCAGATTCAGCCATCGTTGCAGACTGTAGAGGAGAGTGGGCAGTAAGGCTCCCTCATGCACCACCCATGAAAAACCTGCACCTCTCCTTGCAGATGAGGCAAGATCCCCCTGGCCCAATCGAGGGTGAAGCGAAATCAATGTTACGTTTTCCCTATCTCATCCACAGGCCTTACTAAAAATTGAGGGAGACGCAATGAATTCCCTAGGAGGTCTCAATTTGCAAACTGCAAACTGAGGTACAGTACTGTAGACGTTTTGCCATTATTGGAAAACGGGCCACTTCCTAAAATATACACGCTGTGAATTGAGATTGGCAAAGTTATAGCACTTTTCTGAGACTGTTATTTTTTACTCGGATTTAATCCAAATCCGCTTAATTTAAAGATACCATAACATTCAGCATAGCCTGTCGAAGGGAAGATGGCTGTGAAACTCATTAGAATGACAATATAACTCATTATCTATGTTAGTCAACGTGTATTCATAAATCTGGTCGTTTCACCGTCACGTGTGTATTGTATTTTTACAAAATCCACCAATAGCAATTTCCAGTTTCCCTATTGTTCGAGTCACGGATAGGCGACTTTCCTAAAACATTGGTATTGGTTAGTTGGGCAAGAATACAATACACACGTGACGGTAAAGGACCAGATTTATGAATAAACGTTGACCAACATAGATAATGAGTTATATTGTTATTCTAAGGAGTTTCACAGCATCTTCCCTTCGATAGGCTATGCATTCAGTTACCATCAAATGCCTTTGGAATTTATTATCCATCGTTAACATCTAGCTAATCGCAAACCGTACTTTCAATGATGAATTATTTTGTCTCTTTCAGCTCACTCAGAACTTGGTCTGTTAACGTCGATATCACAGGTGAAAAGAATGTTTCATTTCGTTATTTTATCTGTGAAAATGTAATTGGATCCGCCCAGAACGCTTTTTCGATCATCAAATGTGGTCCGTGTCTCGAATTGCCTGGTAGGTGAAAACATCACACTGTCACTGATAAGGGACCGGTCATTATTGATGGCGGGAGATACCTACCGTTCATTGGTATCGAAGAGAAATGTTTTTCTTGGTAAACATTTTGCTGATCAAACCAGTAAAGAGTCATAAATTTTTTTTAGCCAACCTCAAATATAAATTAAGAAATAAATACCCATCCCTGCCGAAACATCCTTTACCACATCTGTGTCACGATAATTGCTTATACAATTTTCTACAGTATCGGCTATATTAACCCTTTTCTCGTCGGTGCCACCCTCCGCCATAAATAATGACTGGTCCCTAATGCTCATCGCTGTGAATGGGGAATGCAGCTTTACAAAGTTACATGATTGTATGAATTTGAATTCCCAAACTCAATAATAACTAGAGGGCACTCAGAGACTGCATACCTCCGCCCGTTACTCGGAAGTGAAACGCAACCTTGGAATTTCCTAAGAAATCCACTTTACAATTCTTAAGCATAAAAGATTTCAGGCCCCCGCGAATTGAAATCGAATTGCTAATAGAACATATTACTGTTGTTGTACTGTACAGTACTTGTAAAATAAAAACTTATTAAGTGTCATTAAATAAATGCATAAATTTTGCTTTATGCACTCGCGCGTGCAGTAATTTTCACAGTTGTGCTATTTTAAATTCCCAGGCAGCTAAAATCTTTTGTCTTTAAAACAATGTCGATTTCTTGGGAAATTCCGAGGTTGCGTTCTTTTTATACACCCTGTATTGAAGTAATCTAATGTTGTTAGAATTTGAATGGACTGGCACTTTGCTGAACGTAATAATGCGTAACTCCGTAAGCCTTGTTTTAGACATTGAATTTCGGTCGCGTGAAATGCAACTAAGACAATAGATAATGAAGGCCGAAGCTTAATGAGGTTTATCATCTCATTATTGTCTTAGCACTGAGTGCATAAATTATACACGTCCTAATTACGCATTCAGTAATATTTTTGTTAATTGACCGGGAAAAGCAAGACAAAATTTTGTTCATTTCTCGTTCAATTTTTAACCAAATTCAACCAAATTTTAATCAGTTCTTCCTTAGCCGATGGGAAATGCATTCAAAAAATTTCGTACGGATATGTTTGGTATTTCTTGAGTTATCGTGCTCACAGACAAACACACACACATACACACACACACACATACACACACACACACACACACACATACAAACCCAGATGATTACATAACCTCCTGGCGGAGGTAATTAATAAGGGGAACAACAAAAAGTGTTGTGTTTTGGTATGTGCACGCCTGGGGCCGGTTGTATAAAATCATTAAATCAAGTGGTAGTTAACTGTAGATCGGTCAGTAAAGTCAGTTGTATAGAAATGTAGTTGGCATTAACTGCAGAAAAATGTAATGAAAATTGACTGACTATGCCTTAGGGCTAAGGGTATTGTTAACTTCCAAAAACGTGTAGTTAAAACAACATGGCAGTTTTAGGAGTGGTCAACGCGTACACCATAAAAACAGATTGGTTAAAACAACCAATAATTGGTTATTTTTGCTGACGCAGCGAGCGAGCCTGAAGCGAGCGAGCAAGTCAGCAGTTCTAATTCGTATTGGGCTCTGAAAGTAAGATTTTACTTCCGTTTCTCCGACCAGAATGCACTGCTGTTAACCGACCAGAATGCATTGCTGTTAGCCGACCGGAATGCTTTGCATGCATGATGCTATAAATACGGGGAATCTCATTAGTCAGTTTATATATATATATATATAAGCTGGGAACGATGCAGTTCTTTTGGTGTATTTTGTATTTCATTGTATATGCCTGGTCTGTAGATTTCTGGCTGGTCTTACACTATATATACTGAGTTTGTTTATTACAAACAATTTATAACGCTTAGAAAGCGAATTTATGCGTTTGTGCTCTTCGCTTTATTTTCTTTTGTCTTTCCTTATTTCATTTAGTACTTAGCAGTAAAATCAACATTGTATTTGCACGTCTGAAAGCGTTCATTTCAAGCATTAAAAGCGAATCAATTATTGTCCATCAGTTTCACTTTGCTATAATTTAAACAGGGTTTAGGTTGTAGACCTTTTGTTTGAATATGATTTGACAATAAGGTAATTGACACGGACACATGGCATGAACAGTCCGGCAACTGCCAACTATGTTTATAGCATGGCGTTTTAAAAGAACGATGTCGATGATTTGCGTGCCATTTCATGGGTTAATTAAATGTACTTTGGCTGCCAAAAAGCACACTACACTACTGTATACTCAGTGCATACACAACATAATTTAATTTATACATGGGCATTGTTTAAGCATGCAACGCAGCCAGGGGCAAGTCAGTAGGATCGTGCATGGGATTGAAGTATGTGCATTGAATATTTTTTATAATTGATCATGCTTTTGTTATGTTAGGCATGTGTCGAAACATTAAAAACAATGTCCTCAACTCTACAGGGTAATCAAAAAACCTGGAAACCTTTAAAGTACAGTACAATGTTTTTAGAATTTGCATGATTCAGAACTAATTGATCCCAAGCATGCGTAAACACAATAGTTGACCCATTCGCAATCGAACTGACAATTAGTTTTTTGCATTACAAATAACTTTTTGTTATTCTAATTTCTATCGCGGACGCGGTTAGTTAGAATGTATGTTCAAATCCCAGGAGCAAAATAAGTAGCACAAACATTGAAATGCTGGCGAGCAGCAGAATTATGCAAATTATAGTGTTTGCAGGTTTTTTGATACACCTGTAGTTTTCGAAGAAACGTGGCTTTAATTTGACGTCCTTGGATGCAAGTTTTGCTCCATGACTATGTTGTTCGCTATTCAGTTCTTAAACGATCGACTTCACTTCAGTAAAATCAAAAGAAAGGCAACTTGGCGAAGAAGTATATTCAAGCGAAGTAAAATATCAGCTAAGCACTTTACTTTACTCTTTCTTTAGCCTGGTTCACATATACCCGCGGTATACCTGCGCTATCATTGTTCACAGCTTTTCAGAGCAGTTGTTGTCAATAGCCCGCCAACATACCGCAGGTGTAAGTAGGTATATTGTGAACCGAGCTTTTATGTTTACTAGCCATTTAAAAGTCCGTGCTTTATCAGATAAAACATTCGAGCTGCGCTCACGTGTTTTTTTTGTCTGATAAAGCACTCCTGCTCGCGTTTTAAATAGTACGTACCGGACAGTCCGCACTCACTGTACAGTTGTGGTCTTGTGATAGTTTGAAGTATATGTGTGGTCTTTAATAGTGATACAGTGTATCGTTGTTGTGTAATTAAAAGCATTGGATAATCTGTGTGCTCTTAAAATAATTATTGGCTGATATTGTGATCTATAGTGAAATGGGTGCAAGTTTCCATACTATTGTCGTTCTGATGTCAGAGATATTAGAGTAACGGTAGGATAGAAAGATTAAAAAATGTTTATGGTTAGATTCTCATGTTTCGCGCACAATACACCCTTTTCATAAATGGCTGCCGATTAAAAATCCTTTTATTTGCATATAAATTGGCCCAACTAGCCTCGTACTCATGTTAAGATTTCAAAGGAATTTCTACCCAGAAACGAGTCTAATTGGGCCAATTTATATGCACATAAAATAATTTTTAATCGGCAGCCATTTATGAAAAGGGTGTATAAAGCTAGGGTTAGGGATGGGTTGTGATTACGGTCAAGATCAAAGAAATAGATTTGCGACCGAAACAAGGATTTATTCATATTTACAATAATGACGTCACAACGATTAAGTTAGTGTTGAGCTTACTGCCAGTTACGATGGGTTAGGAGCTCAAGAGATTGTATTTAAACTGGGGTGCGTTGTTAAATTAATTTGGAAAGATGAGGCCTTTTTTATATATCGTCAAATTAAGGAGCAAGTCAGCATTTATACTACTGATAAGTATACTAGTTATTGTTTTAACCAATTTGCTTTTACAGTGTACCTACTGTAGACTTTTCAATCGCTGTTTTACCTAGAAAGGTTTCTGTGAAATTTGGTCTTTTTGGCGAAAGCTATTAAGTATTATTAAGTAATAACTATTTGCATTGGAAGATTTATCCAAGGGGATTTCTGCCAAACATATACATTTTAATTTCACTTAGATTTATCACGGAAACCGCGCCTTCTTCATAATATTGAAGTTTTTGGTCAAAAACGTCGTTACGTGTTCATTCCTCCCTTTTTTTAATCAAGTTACTGCTACTTCGCAAATTACGATGCCATACATAATAAAGTTCAAAATGTTTGTCAGTGATTGCTATTCAATGTTTACTTTATGTGGTGGGATGTTTAGCTAACCCATATGACTCCCATGTACGTGAGGCATTGGGGTTTGAGATTAACTTATACTCGCATTACTCTTGACTTTCCCGCATTGTGCTTAGTGCTAGGGCATTCAAATTCTAACAATACGTTATTTCAATAGTTTTGGGTTTTTTGGGGACGCCCTGTACAAAACAGACAGACTGACAGCTGTCACAGCTAAAATTCAAAACTATACAAAACAGATATATCATGAGCTGCAGAGTTAAAATTAGAAGAAAAGCTAGAAGAAAATTAAGTTGGAGTGTTATGTGAACAGTTGTAGACGTTCTTTACTAGCTTTAAGTCCAGTGTTAAGAAAAGGTTTGTTGGTTGATTAGCATTGCTTCAAGAAAAGCGAGAATGTTGTAGCTGTTAGATTTAGTTATGTGAAGTATTCTGTAGTTACTGAAAACAAGGTTTTCAATAGGAGAAGGTTTGTCAGAAAGCAATCATGGAAGATCGTTGAGTAATGTGAACTGGTCTTGACTTAATTGTAGCAATCTCGTACCCAGATCCATCGTACGTTAATTGGCTCTGGGTACGAGATTGGTCTTGTAGAGTAGTTAAATTGTCGGCTGGTCATGTTTTTTTAAACACCCCCCTGGTTTACACAATTTGAGTTCGAGTATTTTTTTTCATTCTACATTATGGGTATTCAAGGAATCTATATATAACAAAAACATGATAACACGAGCTGTTTTGCGAAATTGATAGCAATTTCAAATCTGTTCAGTTTTTTTATAAACCCTGGATCTCGACACGTGCAGAAATATTTTAAAGCATAATGAAATATTCGTAAAAACATTCGTAAACATAAAATTACTTCGAGTCTTCGTGAAAAATTCCATTTATTTTTTCACGCTATGTATATACACTGCTGCAAGGAAAATATCTGATACTGCAAACACTGTTTTTTAATTCATAATCATTGAAAGTGCTTTCAACTGTTTTGTTAGTAAAACATAAACAATTTTCACTTACCTTTACGACTAAGCTTTAAAATTATTGCATCTTGAAATATTGAGTAGTTCTTAAGCAAAATTTTAAATTGATGGCAATTCCATGCGGTACACCAAATATGGTCACGAGTTCCATACGGACAAGTGCTGAACTCTCTCACTACTGCTGAATACAATTTTTTGCTGAATACACAATACAGCAAAAATCTCCCATACCTGAGATTAGGATGCTTTCAGCTCGCTTGCTGCATGGTCGCAATTACAACCAATATTTTTGTACTATAGGTGCCGCTAAGAACCTATTGCCGAAAAGCTGTGCCACGCTGCCTGTGCGCATACCATATGGCCCTGCTGAAAACGTATAGCCCCAATACTCTGTCGGCGGTTAATTTCCTGTGTATTATGCTCTTCCTTTCCCTTGCTTGTTACACGTAATTTTCTAGTATATTTCTGTTGGATGCGCGTGTCCGTTACATGGTGGATATGACAGTTGAACTAAGCAACATGCACTACATTGTTACATTATCTCAATGGGTAACAGCCAGGATTTCTAAATTGAGAAATACGGTTGATACTCCACAAGGATGATTATCTGAGCCATCCAATAGTGCCTTAATTTGAACCCTAATCTAGAAACCCCGACTCTAACCCTAATTTAACCCTCGACTCTAACCTGTAACCCTAATCTAACCCTACTATATGTCCATAATCTAACCCTGACCTTAATCTAAACCTGATGACTTTTTTTATCTATCCCACCCCTGCGCGCCCAGCCTCCCATTTAAGGCCATTGGTAGGGATGCCACTACCTGAAAAATTTAAGGAGAATTTCGACGTTTCGAGCGAAGGGCCTTCGTCTGGATAGCTTGTTTATATTATTGGCAGTACCTACAATGGCACAGTATTCTCTTCAGCGAGACTACACCGAAACTCCGTTATTTTTCACTTGAAGGAGTGGGGGGAACCGCCGGGAATGGTAAACTATTGTGATATATGCAGTCAAACATTTCAAAAGAAAAATGGCGAGAAAAGCTATAAGTGCATGCATGATTGGTCCTCGGTTATAACTGAGTTTCGGATGTTAAAATTAAAAAACATGGCACCAATGTAATTTCCATAGTTTAGTATGGAAGTTTAGTATTATCTTGGTTTCGTTTTAGTGTTGGATGAAATGGTTGGTGGTATATTAGACATAAATGGTAAGATTGTATCACTTGCATATTTATCAATTTATACCATTCTATAATTTTTGAATAAAAACTATTATATGTTAACTACAAAAAAGGGACGGTGAAAGTTAATATGTTTTAGAAGAAAATTGTGAACAAAAGAATTCCTCCAAAGAACGGCTATACTAACATTTTAACGGCATTTCACTTGATATAAATAAGAAAATGTTTTTGACAAAGTAAGGTCAAACTCCTCTTAGAACAGGTAAAATGTATGGCAGACAACCACATACACATAACGAAAATTGAATCAATTTGGATTGCATACCGGTCTCATGAGGGAATATGTGTTTCGTCATGCTTGCAGTAAAAATCACTGACCTCAATTTTTGATAAATTGTTCAGAAAAGAAATTAACAGTTCCTACAAAAAGGCAAGGGTAAGTCAAACGCCCCACCACTAAGAAACTAACAAACTAGTCTACAAGTACATTAAAATTGCGTAAACAGGAATGAGGGTGGTAAAGTTGATATCAATCTGAAATTCGTTGTTCTATTGCTATCAAAGCGATGCGTAAAATGAACTAAATGTGCATTCTGTTATAGATATATACCGCCATTCCTATGTCCGTTTTTCCACGTACTATATTCATGTGACCAGAAAATTCGGGTAAAAAGTACCCACTGATGCATGTGTTCCGATGTACTATTTCGTCTATTTTTATAAATTCTATGTGCAAGTCTTGATTGTCAATAATTCCTTTTCTTACCAAAACCCTATAGAAATGTGATTACATTCGTATGCCTATTTTATTTAGAATGGGTAGCTATTATTGGCAGATCATGTTTAGATTGCTCCTTGCCAGCAATTTCAATGCATCCGCGGTTATCGTTAAAACAACATGCTTTGTTTACATTGTTAGATCCAACATGGTGTGATGGTTGGTTGTTGTCTGACATTGAGGTTTACCTGAACATACATGATGCTAGTGGTTTTCCCATCAATCTCTTTAAGGGGGATTGTTCACCTGATTCTGAAACTGGAAAGTACGTAATTAAAGTTATGGCGATGGATATGGACAAGGTAAAATGTAAAGTTTAGAAACATTTGTTGTGTCTGCAGCTCTTGGGGATACCCCTGCCCGCCATATGGTGTTGTGCCTTTTGTAGTACTTTTTTATGACAATATTGAAACAGAAAGTCCGTTTCTACGAAAACGTGCTAAATAATATTGCTAAAAATATTGTTAAATTAATAATTGAGTTTAAGTTATATATATTATCAAGGCCGAAGCTAGGTACCAATCCTATTATCGCATGCTCGTCGTTTGATGGTATAATATGTGTTTCTTATTTAGGGTCAGAGATGTTTCTCTTGCAGAAATGCGTCGAATGTAAATGTGAAGGTATATAGAGTAAGACATTTCCTACACGTCTTTTGGAAGCTAAAAGTAGAGCTTGGACGGTTGAAACTGGTTAAAAATTTATTTTAAAAATATTAAAATATCAGAAGACGTTTCGGTCAAACAACTAAGACCTTCGTCGGTTCTACTAAAACGTGAAACTACGTCTATATTATATAGGTTACAAACAATTATCTTGAACAAATTGGTAGCAATTTAGCATAATTTTTTGTAACCTATATAATATAGACGTAGTTTCACGTTTTAGTAGAACCGACGAAGGTCTTAGTTGTTTGACCGAAACGTCTTCTGATATTTTAATATTTTTAAAATAAATTTTTAACCAGTTTCAACCGTCCAAGCTCTACTTTTAGCTTCCAAAAGATGTCTTCCACTGGTTGCAATTTTAACATTTTTCGAATTTCCTACACGTGTCTCGTTTTGTGTCATCATACTACACGCAATACATTATGTCAATGTATGGTCAAGAAAACGCTCCCAAAATGACATCATTAGGAGTTAAATCTTGATTGGAGCTTGCTCTGTTGTTTAACTACTCGTATAATGATGTACGAAAGCTTATTAAAACTAAATTAAATCAAACCGTTAAAAAGCAGATGTAATCGTTATTTAGATCGTTGGTGAATATAATTGTACTGTTGAAAATCAGGGGGAATCTGGAGTTAGCTACGATCCATCTAAGCATTATTCCTTTGTCACACGTGTGCTGGATTCAAAACATATGGTAGGCCTATGATACAATATTTAGTGGGTAAAATGAACATGCAAATTTACAATTTTTTAACTTAAGCAGGATCCTATACAGCCAAGTTTTTGCAATGAATTTTTAGAAGAATATTTTTATGAAATGCTGTTTCGCTACGATTGATAAGCATAATTGCATATAGTATGTCACTGTCATGTAAGTTGTATAGAAATTCGTGTGTATAATAAAGCTTCGAGGTAATGTGAAGTGAATTACATCATGCTGTTTCTGTAATGTAAATGATTTGAGTCAATAGGGAGTTTACGCATGTAAGACGGGAACGTCAGGACGACGGCTATCAATACAATGTCATTAATCCTATAGCACAAAAGAAATGAATAATTAAACGCATAGCTGGAATTTCAGACGTTGTCCAGGCTCTGTTGACGACGGCCAAATGCATATTTTCACGTCTTGTAAAGAACGCCAGCATTTAAAGCTGTGGCAGCAATTTCTATAGCAGAGTTGATCAAAATTCCTTTGAAGGTTAAAGCTCTGTTTTACTCGTTCTAAACTGTATTAAATTCATACGAAAGTAAATACAAGACAATATTTCCACACAATCATTTATTTCAAACAGTTTTTTTTATAGCCGTTGTCCTGACGCCGCCGTCTTACATGCGTAAACTCCTTAATAATAGAGTGTGCACATGTCACTCTCATGCAGATCGAGAATATGCCCATTCCCATGTTAAGCTCCCGTTGGTACAACTCTAGACAAATGGAATGCATTTTTAATAACTTGTTAGCTATACGCATGCTCTTAATTCACAACACTAAATTAGTTTCTTGGAATTACCAACGACCACAAATGCTTAAAAATAAAACAATTTTATTGTTTACAACGTGTCGGTGTGTTACTCCATCTTCAAGTTATAAAGATTGCCGTTTTTTTTAAAAAAGTGTTAAAATTGTTTTATTTTTAAGCATTTTTGGTTGTTGTTAATTCCAAGAAATTATACAAAATTAGTTAATTAACGCGGGCGTCAGTGGTGCAATTATAAAATTTCGCGAAGAAAATATGATACATTATTCGTATTGAAATTTCTATCAATTTTTGTATTGTTTGAGAACATATCGTCATGCATCGTACAATCCTGTTCAAAATCATCTGCACATCCTCTGTGGCTTTTTCACTATTACTCTGACTTTTACTATATGTATAATTATTTACATGTTTGCCCCCTCCGCCCCCTAAAACAATGTTGGACGCATTACAATTGCTTTTCTCGTACATATACTTTGATCGCTGAACCGTAACTGTTCGCAGAGAGCCACACAACTATTTTTTATGATCGAATTTAGTAACGCTGCAAAATAAAAAATAAATAGCCACTCTAACTGTAAACAATAGTTAGGTAATCCTTTTAACAATCTTCTGACGGTTTGATATTTTCATTCGTAAATTTATCAATTGTGTATATCACGTGTAAATAGAAGTAGACTGAACTTTCCCCTGGATCAAGACATTCAAATATTCAATATGTCGTTAGTAGCAACTACATAAAAAATAGCATCTGACATGCCACTTTCAATATCATGTCTTTTTAGGTGTTCAAAGTTGAAATTTATCTTACGGATGGCACTTCAGAAGGAAAAATCAAAACAATTGGCAAAGGTTTTATTCAACCAATTGATTTAAAAAGCAGTTGTGGTATTATAGATGTTGGTTTAGTGCATAAAGAATCCCCAGTTGGTTCGTTGCAAGGTACTCTCTAGTATTGTCGATTGTATGGTTTAAAAAGACTGCAGTGTTCATTGCATGCATTCTTCCAGCAAATGGCTATATATTGGCCGCACGTGAAAAAACTATAGTGAAAACGATTTAAACATTTCGAGATATATTCTGTTCTATTTATATTCGAGAGGTTCAGATTTGACTTAATTAACCAATCAGATGCGTTTAATATATCCCATTAACCAATCAGATGCGTACTAAATAATCTTGTGAGAGGTAGTGGATGTAAAATCTGAACCTCTCTATTACAAACATTGTAGCATTTAAATACATGTAGATGAAACTTTCACTGTACTTGGGATATCTGCACGAGGTCTCATCAAAACGGTTTGTGCCTATATAGATTGCACGAAATTACTTTTTCCCATTTTATTACAGTAAAATTGTACTCTTCTCAGTAACTGTCTGCCAAAAATCTGTGTAGTACTATATTTGACATCCTATAAATTACTAGGCCTATATATTTGACATCCTATAAATTACATGTTAATTATAATATGATTGGAATATTTTCAAATATACAGTGGAATACCTTATAATCAAACCCCTGGAAGACAAATTTCTTCACAATATCGAAGACTGGACGGACAGAAACTGGCAGAATGCAGGCAGAACATTGCACATGGGACACCGTGGTTGTGGAAGCACATTCGGATCAGGAAGGTATTGAAAATTATTATTTGCTGGGCTCTTTTATGAACAAAAAGATTTTTGCCTGGTGTATCAATAGCTACAGTGCAAATAATATTAGTTAATTTTTCTTTACATTAACCCTGTAGAGGTTTAATAAATACAATTTTAAAAAATTCCATTGATCATCATTGTATAAGATCACGCATGTGAGATATAAAGGGTTCTTTTGGTATTTTATGCTCTGCACGGAATGCATTTCCGATTTTTCTACAGCAATTTTGCACACAAGTTCCATCCAGTTGAGCTAAATTTTGTTTCTTTTCATTTGTGGGTCTTGAGCAATTGTCCAACATTTATACTGACCTAGTACGAACATGTTTCATGCAGATTGACTTCGTAAAACAAAAGTGTTTGTGGCTCATTCTTTAGAAAATGTAATATAGTTTGTTTATACATATAGTTAAATGTAATATAATGTACAAAATGGAATATAGTTTATTGCCTTGTATATTGTCCCAGTGACAAATAGTCTGTTATGGAGCAACATAAAATAGTTGAATATGCATATATGCACAAAAATTTAAAAACAATTTGTGCTACGCTTACTTGTGTTAAACACATCTTACACATTTTGAATAAACACACCTTGGCGCACCGCACATACTTTTAAAAAAATAAACACAACTTGGTGTATTAAGGAAGATATATTAATAACGTATTACGTTATCCCTTCACCCCTCTTATTTTGTGTGAAAGTCTTTAACCCTAACGCCTAACCCCTGCCGAAGCTCGCTCAGTTGTGCCACTTGCACCCCACTAGAAATTTTTCCACCCCTCCTCTTAAAAAAATGAAAATCCGCCCTTGACACATGGTAGACCTTAGACTTTCGTCTTTACTCAAGAGGCGAAGGAATTCTAAAGGGAAGCACTTTGCGGAAAGAGTAACGAATTTGCGGACGTTAACGTGTGAGACGAAGGAATTTTTCAACTTGAAGCGCGCCATTTTGTACCGACTCAATAACGGGTCCTTAACCGCTGATCTGCAGTATATATGATATGTACTGGCTTTCAGGGCCTATTCTAAGGAAATTTCAATACTGCACACTTCAGAGCAGGTGTCATCAATGACGTCACCCTGTGACGTCATCTTTGAATTTTTGTTGCATGCCATATATGGCATGCAACTTTCATATAGCTCTAAATTTCGTGTTCGGTGAGCGGTGATCGGTGAGCGGTGATCGGTGAGCGGTGAGCGTACCAGTCACGTGGCAGATTCGTAAAATACGACAAATACCGAGTTTCCAACGAGCATTTTCATGCCGGGTTTTTGTCGAGGAAACGCAAAGAAAATTTATATATTGATTATTCGCCGAAAATTTACATAATCGAGCGCCTTAGAAAAATAAATCGAGGTAGGTAAAGCTTTACTGTTTTAACTTACCTTATATTTTGTTATTTGTTGTGATTTTGGAGCCGTTGTGCTCGCACTGATTATTTATCAACTATCACGCGTTTATATTTATATATCGTGAAAGCCTCAAAGCCGCGAACGCTATCAAAATACTCGATTTTTATATACTCAAACTGAAACGGAGCCATTGTGCTCGCACTGATTATATTGTGTGCAAAGCTTCAAAACTACAGCATATTTTGTAAACAACATGAAATATAAATATCAAACACAATTTAAATTATAAATATAGTAATACAATTGAAAGCCTCAAAGCCGCGAACGCTATCAAAATACTCGATTTTTATATACTCAAACTGAAACGGAGCCATTGTGCTCGCACTGATAATATTGTGTGCAAAGCTTCAAAACTACAGCACATTTTGTAAACAACATGAAATATAAATATCAAACACGATTTAAATTATAAATAGTAATACAATTGAAATCGAGATTGAAATATACAACGAAATAGCAACCATTGTGAAGTACGCATAAGATTCAACATGACATTCGATATAGTGTAAATTAACTCATTTCAATCACTCAAACGTCAAAATGATAAATAGTAATCATTTTCAATCTATTGTAGTAATTCACCGTTTCCACGTTTTTTTTATACCCATTAAAAAGTTGCAATAAAGCTATATCTATAGGAAATAACGTTATTTAGTTATTAATTTGTAAAGTAAATCTAACAGTCAATCGCTTTTGATAAAACCTTGACCCGCCTTGACATTGTTAAAGGGGCCCTACAGTCATTTTTTAGTCAAGTAAGTATTGTTTACATTTTTGTTATTGTCGCTACTTGACATGCGCATCACGGCATGCATGCGTCTTCCGGTGTGCGGAAGTACTCATATTCATGGATACTGCATGTAAGATACAGCCAAACGAATCTCCGTGGAGTCCCCTACTTGAGGTGACTTTTTGACTAAAAAATGACTGTAGGGTCCCTTGACTCCCTCTAATGTTATTATTACCGTCGCTTGCAACTAACTATTAACGGTCGCTTAAAAAACATTGTCTATATTCGCGTGTTTCTGCTGGGGTCTACACCGTAGGCAAATTCACGTGAGAGTCTTAAGTTTTCTTATTTTGACATAATAGCTATTTTGCAATAAATATATTGATATTAAATTTATTGAATCGATATTTTAAGTTTCACGCCAGTTGTACCAAAGGTTATAAGCGCTATAGCGCATCATAAGCATATATATCTTATATAAGATATCTATGATCATAAGTTTCAGATGGCATGCAACATGTACGCAGTGCGTACCTATTTTTATGTTTTTATATAAAGCATAATGACAACATACAGAGTTTCTCAAAAAAGTGAACCCTTTCAAATTCAAATCAACCATAACCTATTGTAGTAATTCGCTGATGCAACACAAATGATCCTCAATGTCGCTTAATTTAAATTTGAAGGGGTATACTTTTTTGAGACACCCTGTAGAATGACAACATGAAATATGACAACATGAAATATGACAAAATCTACCCGATTTTTAAATGTTTTAATAACACAACAAATATTTATTGCTTGACAATTGTTTAAAATTTTCGTTGTAACTGTCCTTGTGTTTTGACATTCTTTCTTTTTTCTTTCATCTTTTCTGATGCTACACTGAAGGTTTTCAGAAACCATTCTTGTTCTTTAGCCTTTGTTGGCTCCACAGATCGACGGGAGCGTTGCTTCCACCAGTATTCTACTGCCGGCCTTGGGTTGAACTCGGCTAAAACAGGCATATTTAGGTTAACGTACAGATAGTGCGAAACGGTTTCATTTGTTAGACAGAAGCGATCGGATGTCTTGAGCTGGTTAATATACAAGCTAATCAGCCTTTCTACATCAGCTGAATGTGGCGTACAGGCTGCAATCCTTGCGAAAAAAATTGCTAAGGTACCATAGTCACTTTGAGCCTGTGCAAGCATTTCAACTTTCTCCAGTAAGGACAATGATTTTGATCCAAGTAATCGAACCGCATCACGATACTCTTCAGAAATATTCGACAATTGTAGGTCACAAGCAATTTTCTGATGCACCATTACAAGATCGTCATCTTTTGCTTGAAATGTCCTCATCAAATGAAAGCCTTTGAGTCAAAAATGTTTTTAGAGACTCTAAGACTTCAGATCGTACAGTTACAAAATTGCGTGTAGTTTCACTGACATACAGGTTATGCTCTTTTCTTCGGCTTTCTGTTCCGCTTTTAAGCTCGATATCCATAAAAAGGTTGTCTTCTGGTTGATACTGTTGTTGTAACTCCGATTCCCAGCCACCCAGGACTGGTGAATGTTGGAGATCATCAAGCCTTCTCATCACATATGACTTCCAGTCAGGCAAGTCAGTAATGTTAAAGTTTTCCAACTGAATCTTCTTGTGGTACCTCGAAAACACGAAGAGCAAATCAGCTACAAAAACCAACAGCTTCAAATTTTCCAATTTAGTCAGAAACGCGTGATACCCTGTGAAGCTGCATCATGCGTCTTTCCAAAATAAGTTACTAGTGCTCTTCAAGAGACCAATATAGACTCGAAAAGAGATGAATTAAATTCACTCCAGCGTACTTCAAAAAGTTTTGGTAGTTCACGGAGCTGGAATCCATTTGCCTCTGCCACTTCACGAAGTTCTCTAGATCGAACTCCTGAGGAATGGAAATATGATGCGATTGCAACTATTATAGAGAAAAGAAACTTCATCTCAGTAACAATATTTGATACTGCTTTCCATGGAAGATCAGTTCGATGGGCAATACACCAAACCTTTAACAATGGCAAACCATACGCTTCGTGCTCCGATGTTAAGGATGCCCAGAGACTAGTTTTATCTCCTGTGTTCAAATTTGTCCCGGCTGTTACATCAGACCAACTTGATGTTAGATTAACTGCATCCTTTACAGCCTGAACGTACCCTGGTGTCCCTCTAGCTTTTGGTTCGTCGAGACCCAAAAACAGTAGTCCTGGCTTGCCATCTTGATCTATAATATTTGCAAGAACATGACAGTTGTCGATTCTCCTCCTATCAACTGAAGAATCGCATCTTAATGATAGCGCCAAGCTGTTCTCTATTTTTGTGTTGATTCTGGTTTTGTCAGCCAGAACAATACAGCTTAAGAAGTTATTGTGCTGAGTAGGTGTGACATATTGTAATGTTGAATTAGAAGGGTCAAATGTCTCAAAATCTTGTGTTACATCAACTGCAATTGACATCATATTTGCAACTTCTCTTGAAGGCCAGCTCCAAGCTCAAAGGGTTAGCTTTTCTGCATCGTTGAACACGTTGATCATTAACCCAGCCACTTTATTCTTCAACCTCGCATTCGATTTGTTTATTACGCTACCCAATTGCGTTTTCACAACTTGTTCTGGTGAACTAAAGTGTGATATTTTCCCAGGTTCAACAACCTTTTTGTGCATTTCACTTTCCAGGTGATGAATGAGGATCACTTTCCGTGGGATTATGGTTCCCTCCAAAGTGCATATAACTGGAATTCTCTTCGAGTTCCGAAATGCTTTAGCTGTTGCCTTTTGCTTATGGCATAAATTGCATCGGACATAGTTCCTCCCTTTTGACTCTCTCTTGAAGTATTCAAAACATGAGTCCTTGATGATTTCGTCTTCATTTGAAGAACTTGAAGTGTTAGAAGAGTTTGAAGTGGAAGCACGTAGCCTAAGTGAATAGACCTTTCCCCTTATGAGTGAAATTTTGATCTAGGATGCCTGGGCAACAATTTCATCACAGCTTGAAAGAGCATCACAAAATTAGTAATATTCCGAAGTTTCGTTGCGAAATGTTGTAAAATGCGGATAATATAGCATTGCGAAGTTTACCGTTTTTCAGTCATTTTACATTATAATCTAACATTTTGCATCAGTTTGATCATCTGATTATCAATTTCCCGTTTGTAATACCAAATGACTGAAAAACGGCAAACTTCGCAAGGCTATATTATCCGCATTTTACAACATTTCGTAACGAAACTTCGGAATATTACTAATTTTGTGATGCTCTTTCAAGCTGTGATGAAATTTTTGTTCAGACTTGTCTAGATCAAAATTTCACTCAAAAGGGGAAAGGTCTATTGCCAACATTGGAAAATGATACTAGTGATGACAAAGACAAAGAGCTGCTGGAGCTGGATGATTGACTATCAATATTTTTATTATCAATATGAAAAGCATGCACTTCAATTGGTTTCAAGCTTTTAGATTCTTCTTTTTTTTCTTTAAGGCTAGGTTTTTCAGAAGAGCCATAGTCTAGGACCTGTATATGAGTTTGTATGCATTTCATTTAGCACAGGTAATCTCAACTGTTTTAGGGTAAAATGACCATGGCGGTCAACATGGCATATGTGCCAAAAGCTGAATCCGGGACGAAAGTCCTGAAAATGACCCCGCCCTGAAACGGCAGTGTCGACATAGCTCTAACTTCAGAAAACAAAAAGCGATAGTCTTTCTGAAGTGCTTATAGTGTTTAGAAGGGTTGCTTTTAGGGGTGGTCATTGGAAGAAAAATTTGTCCAAGTATAATATTTTACAAGAAAATGACCATGCACCACCCCAGGTAAATTGCTGATTATGCATAAAATAACTAATATGCCTGGCAGAAATTAAATATTCTTATTTCCTAAAAAAATTTATCATGGGGTTAAAAACTATGCTTAATTTAATATAAATATTGTTGATTTCATAAGGATTGTCATTGTTTTCTTTAAATATAATACATTTTATTTAACTTACCCCCCACGAAAACACGATTTCAGCCATATTTTGCCGTCTTGTTTGCTTTTTATTGCCGAATCTCGCAAATATCATCCAGTTATTGTACTTTTACATAATCAAAAATGGCTGAAGAAGATTTCAAAGAAGGTTTCACCCACTTTTGAAACAGTGCAGTGTATTTTATCTTCGATAATGTGTCCTTCGATATCTCGTCAAATTGGAAATATTATTTGCACTTGGGAGGAAAAACCTCCCAGTACAATTGTCGTGTTAAAATTCAAAAGAAATAATTTAAAAGTCACGCGCAAGTTCGCGAAAACACCTCGTGGACTGCATGACAGGGGGGTGAATATTTTCACGAAACGTTTGTTTGCCACCACAGCAACCTAACTAAATGTATTATATTTTTTGTATTTTTATAATTGATGATAAATATACGCAAATATTTATTGTTTTTATCAAAAATCACAAATATACAATAAATATAATGTACCTAACTTAGGTTGCTGTGGCCTGTGGTGGCGAACAAACGTTTCGTGAAAATATTCACCCCCCCCTGTTATGTAACCCACGAGGTGTTTTCGCGAACTTGCGCGTGACTTTTAAATTATTTCTTTTGAATTCTAACAGGACAATTGTACTGGGAGGTTTTTTCCTCCCAAGTACAAATAATATTTCCAATTTTTGGATTGGGACTATTCTACAATGAAGTACTCTTGGATAATGTAATCTAAATACATATGAAAACGAAGAAGTGGCATTTATCGGGCAGAGAAGCGGCGAGCCATTAAAATGGCGGCAATTTGACGAGATATCGAAGGACACATTATCGAAGATAAAATACACTGCACTGTTTCAAAAGTGGATGAAACCTTCTTTGAAATCTTCTTCAGCCATTTATGATTATGTAAAAGTACAATAACTGGATGATATTTGCGTGATTCGGCGATAAAAAGCAAACAAGACGGCAAAATATGGCTGAAATCGCGTTTTCGTGGGGGGTAAGTGAAATAAAATTTATTATATTTAAAGAAAACAATGACAATCCTTATGAAATCAACAATATTTATGTTAAATTAAGCATAGTTTTTAACCTCATGATAATTTTTTTTAGGAAATAAGAATATTTAATTTCTGCCAGGCATATTAGTTATTTTGTGCATAATCAGCAATTTACCTGGGGTGGCGCATGGCGCATTATACTTAGACAAATTTTTTCTTCCTATGACCACCCCTAAAAGCAACCCTTCTAAACACTATAAGCTAGGCACACGCTGAATACGCTAGAGGTACACCAGATGTACGGTACTCATACCGCTGGCATTTCAAAGGATTTTTGTGCGTATGATTTCATTAATTTTCATACGCTTCTCATACGTTTCTCTCATACGCAATAGTGTGACAGGGCCTTAAGGGGCCGCGTCCATATTCATGTTGCCACGCTTAGCGTCAACTGAAATTGACGTTAGAGTGGGTGGGTTTTATCCTAACTTGCTTGACGTTTATTCGTGGCATAATGACAATTTTGTGAAAATTTTGAAGAATTTGATGTGAACTACAATGATGATATTTAAAGAAAGTAATTTTTGCAAATATGTCCATTCATTCAACAAAGAACATTAGCTTAAGGTTACAGGACACCCTTTTTGGCGTTTTGCGGAAAATCGCTACTGCGCGCTCAATATCAGTCCGATTTGAATCAAATTTTCACCAAATGTTCGCCAGTGTAGGCAAAATATGGTAAAGTTGTAAAATTAACAAACAATAAAATAATATAAGAATTGTTCAGGAAAATCTTAAATCGCGGTACCGTTACGCTTTTGAGTTGTGCTCCTGCTGGTTTTAAGTTATATTTATGAAAATATCATTTTTATACAGTAAAATAGTTGTTCTAAAAAATTGTGTTCGGAATTTTTTTGTTTATTTCGTCATTCCGCTGATATGGCGATTTCTTTGACGACTGCAAAATATTTCTGAATTGTTTGAGTGAATCGCTCTTTATTATTAAAATATCCAAAAAAGCCGAACACAATTTTGAAACTGACGTCTTTAGCTATGTCCTGTGAAAATCTGAGAAAAATTGGTCAAAACCGGCAGGAGCACAACTCGTTTGAAAATCAGTAATTACCGTAAAATTCGTCGGGAGAAAATTGAATTTGAATATTACATTTTCAATGTTTTTCTTATTGCAGCGAAATGTATTTTATTTAAAAATAACTCTGCGAGTTTTCAACATTTTTCGTTCAAACTTGGTCAGATAGTAGAACTAGTCTAATGCTTTCATGGAAACCAATAAAAAAATTTTAGGCAAAATTAACCCTCAAAGGTGTTCTGTAACCTTAAAGTGCCTATGACACGAAATTTCACCCCAAATGTTTATGATTGCATTGTCAAGATCACTTAAAATGACTTAATAATTTCTTTTATAGAATTTTGGTAACTTGCTTCCTTTGCAAGATATTCAACTTTGTTTCATATGCAAATATCACCGGTGTGACATCACATCGCATAATGACATTTTGCAAAGGCAATATTTTACCTTGATAAAATATTTTTACAAACAAATACAGCGGATTAATTACCAGTTATGAAATTAATACATATACAAGAGCAATTTTTAAGTTTTTTAGATACGTTTTCGTCAAGAAAACTATATGTTTCTGAAAACTCAGTATGTGATGTGATGTCACACCGGTGATATTTGCATATGAAACAAAGTTGAATATCTTGAAAAGGGAGCAAGTTACCAAAATTCCATAAAAGAAATTATTAAGTCATTTTAAGTGATCTTTACAATGCAACCGTAAACCTTTGGGGTGAAATTTCGTGTCATAGGCACTTTAAATAATGTGTCTGTTTATTTAGTAAGTTAATCTGTTGAGGGGTTGTCTTTGCCGCTAGAATCTTCTCAGTGGTGGGAGTACAGCAATTTGTTCCTGGTGATATTGGGCACTTGCAATTTGGTCGTCAGCTTCGTTGTCCGTTTCATTTTCTGTAACTGGGGTCATTTCAATCTTTTTGAAAAATGAAACATTGCGTGTAACTTTGTGGGGACCATGTTCAGCGGTGACCATACTTCCTTTTCTTGCTATGACTTTGTAAGGATCTGGATGAAAAGGGGTGGACAACTTGTTTGTTTTCGGTTGTCGGATTAGTACTAAGATTGTACAGTATGTATTATGTCTCTATTATAAAATTGAAATGCTTCTTTAAGATTGGGTGCAGTAGTTTCGTCTTTCTTCGAGAGGTTTCCAATTTAGGCTCTTGAGCAACTCAAATGACTGAATATCGTCAGTTGCCCCAGTAATTATTTTTGCAGCACGATTTTCGTATTTCTGCAACCTATCCTTGAGCCCATAACGGGCTGCAATACTCGAAATAATTAAGGCTGTATAATAGCATTATATAGCATTTCGTTTTTCGAAAGTGCTCCTGTACAAAAGCCGAAAGGTTTTCCTGTACGAAAGCTGAAAGGTTTAAGCTGTCTGGCCG